GCTTATCCCCAAAGGATCCGTTAACTTCTCTCAGAGAAGCAGGGGTCTCTTCACTACAGATCAGTCTTCCATTCCTGACCATCTCAAAAAGTATTGGTCCCAGGAGAGAACAAAGAATGCAATTGGCTCATCAATAACATCATCTGTGTATTGTTTTTTGCTCTGTCTGTAGCACTGAACTGATTTGGAGATAGGTACACGTAGAGGACTTGAAGAAAAGAACTATTCTAAACATTAGGATGATCGGGTAACGGGTGAGAAAGTGGGGGTTGGGGAGGACATATGTTCAAAGGGGAACTAATTCTCTGCATTGATCTTACAAACTTAAAATTGAGATCCTACTCTAAACACATTTTAAAACCTAATTATTTCATGGACATTTTCAAACACATACAAAAGTAGAAAGAATAGTATAATCAGTGCCCTTGAGCCTACCACATGGCTTCAACAATTACTCAAGCCTCCCCACCTCCAGATTAATTTGAAGCAAACATCAAATAGTTCATCCACAAATAGTTCAGAGTGCTTATATCTAAAAAATAAGATGCTTCTTTGAACTATAATGACAATATCATCATCACATCTCCAGTGTTTATAGAAATGCTTTAATATCATAAAATATTCAGAAAGGAACTGAATGTAGAAGGATACTGTGAATAATGCTGCAATGAACGTGGAAATGCAGATATCTCTTCAAGATAGTGCTTTCAAATTAAATTTCCCCTAATTGTCTCATGAATTTTTTTTATCTTCCAGTTGACACTTGAATAATGTGGAGTTTAGGGGTGCCAACTCCCACACAGTTGAAAATCCACCTATTACTTTTGACTCCCCCAAACCTTAACTACTAGGAGCCTACTGTTGACTGGAAGCCTCACTGATAACATAAACAGTAGATTAACACATATTTGGTACATTATAGGTATTATATACTGTACACTATAATAAAACTAAGTAAAAGAAAATGTTATTAAGAAAATTATAAGAGAAAATACGTACACAGTATTTATCCAAAAAAAATCCACTTGTAAGTGGGCACCCACAGTTCAAACCCATGTTGTTCAAGGGTCAATTGTAGTGGATCTGTTTAAATTGAGCTCCAAATTGGTGCACCTGAGTGGCTTTGTCGGTTAAGCGTCCAACTCTTGATTTTGGCTTGGGTAATGATCTCAGGCTAATGATCTCAAGATCTTGGTATCAAGCCCTGCCTTGGGCTCTGCACTCAGCGGGGAATCTGCTTGAGATTCTGTCTCCCTCTGCCCCTCGCCCCATTCTCTCTCTCTCTCAAATAAATAAATCTTTTTTTAAAATGGGATCCAAATAAGATCCACACAGTGAATTGTTTAATATGTGTTAAATCTTCTAATTTATGACTTTCTCCTCCTTCTCATTCAATTGATTTGTTAAAGCAAAACCATGTGTTTTGTCCTGTAAGATTTTCCATAGCCTGGATTTTCTGATTTTAATCATGTCATTTAATATATTCCTTTATCACCTGTATTTTCTGTAACTTATTATTTAGATATGTAGGCTTGATCGAATTCTAGTTTTATTTTTGGCAAGAATATTTCATACAGGATGATGTGTGTGTGTGTGTGTATGCAGGAGGTAAGTAGTATCTGCTTGTCTCTCTTGTCTCTCTTTTTGTGAAGTTAGCCATCATTAATGGGCATCTCCTAATTGCATTATTTCATTAGGGATTACAATATGATTTTTTTTTAAAGATTTTATTTATTTATTTGACAGAGAGAGACACAGCGAGAGAGGGAACACAAGCAGGGGGAGTGGGAGAGGGAGAAACAGGCTTCCCGCCGAGCAGGGAGCCCAATGTGGGGCTCGATCCCAGGACCCTGGGACCATGACCTGAGCAGAAGGCAGATGCTTAAAGACTGAGCCACCCTGGATATTCTACTTCTTGGAACTCAATCCCTCTCACAGTCCCTGGACATTTTATCACTAGCCAAGAGTGATAAGATAAGGCTTGGTGAGAGTATGATAAATGGAAGATTTTTTCTTGATAAACTCTATTGGTGGCTCACTGGTAACTACGCAAAAGGTTATAAAAGGAAAGTCACCATATCCCAATCACCCCAAATTCCCTATTTGGCTGACTGGAAATATTTGGACTGGCTAAAATGTTAAAGTGACTTAAAACATCTTCCAAATAAATGCAATTGGTATACATTTTGGAATACTAAAAGTTTTCTTTAATTTTTGAATGTAATGCTTCTAATTCCAATTGATATATGATACGATCTGCCTCTTTCCCAGACAGAATGTTTGAAAGCTCTTTCCTTTAGGAAGAAAATAAAATTATAATAGCAGTTTCCAGAGGGAATCCAATGGTGATGTCATTACTCATTTCCTTTATTTACTCAGTTCATGTGGTCAGGTTCTGTGGGATAAAGGTGCTATTGGTCAAAACTCAATAAATGAAGTTAGTTGCAAATCATGGATGTATTAAAAAATTAACTCATCCTACAGAACAGTTAATATTCAGGGTTAACAGAACATTCACCTTCATATTATAGGGGATCTCAAGCATTAAATGCTTATAAGCAGAACTCAAAGTGGGTTTGAAACTGTACAGAATTTCCATGTTATGATCTCAGGATACTTAGAGCCTACCGTGGCAAAATAGAAAACTGATGTAAATGCTTTCCTGTAGGCAGTTACGTTAATGTCCTTTCTTTTTGTTAATTTCTGTTCATTGTGGTGAGTTTTGTGATGATTATGATTGCCAAATAAAATACTGCATACCCAGTTATATTTGAATCTCAGATATACAAGGAATAATTTTTAGCATAAGTATGTCCCAAATATTTCATGGAACATATTTATTCTAAAAATGATTTGTTCTTGATCTAAAATTCAGATTTAATTGGGCATCCTGCATTAAATCCGGCAACCCTGTGGATAAATAGAGCCTAATGGTGACTGATGTTTGAAAATTAAAAAGAAATATATGTTGTATAATGTACAGCAACACTTCTAAACTTTAATGTGCATACAAATTACCTCAGCTACTTATCAGAATGCAGATCTTGATTCTGCAGATCTGGAATAGAACCTGAGATCCTGCATTTCTAACAACCTTCTGCTTTGTGTTGATGCTGCTATTTCATGAACCATCATTTGTGCAAGGCTATAATGGACATCTTTTTTGTTGGTTGTTTTTGTTTTGGTGGCCCAGCATCTGAACTCTCTTACCTTAGAGAATTCAGTGATATGTGAATCTTGGAAAAAAGTGTAAAATGAAGCCCCATCCTCATGATCTAGAAACTGACAGAAGTTGTCAAATACTTTATCATCCGCCTTTGCAGCCTGGATTCAGGTACATAACCTGCCCTTGGCCAATCAGAAGCACCTGCATAGCCTTGAGTAGAGAACTGGAAACACAGATAGCAGTTAGTTCCCTTGCAACACGGCAGTTGTGGCCAAATTAAGTTCCCAGGGCAGCGGTGGTGGTGGAAGAAAGGGGCAGAGTCCAGTATGCTTAGCAGCATCCGTGATAGCAGTCTTCTCACGATGTTTGTTTCTGCAGCATGATTTTGGGTACTGTTCTTGGCTGCACAGCTCTGAGCTTGGTTCTCAACCCTCATAATGATTCCGTGAGTTGGCCACTTCCTTTGCTACTAAATCAGTCAGAATTGATTTTCATTGCTTGAATCTAAGAACCCTGAGGAAGCCAAAGGGTCTGCCAGAAGATAGCTGGCTTGCACAGCCCATCAACTGCAGTATGTGTATGATATTCCGCTTAGGTCACCACTCAGGATGATCTCTGCTGCACAGGGTGAAGACAATTCTGCAAGAGGTACAACCTCCATTTGGTGGAAGGGTGTCTATTTCCTGGCATCATCTCTATGCCTCTCTGGCGATGAGGTTTCTGACAATGACTAATCTTGCCTTAATAGAACTAGATTTATATGCTAACCCTGTCATTAACTAGTTACGTGACTTTGAGCAAATCATTTAGCCTCCGTGGGTTTTGGCTGTTAAAGGGAGTTACAAAAAATGAGTTAAGACTACATGTTTCTTATTGCATTTTTTTCACATTGCATCATAATTGGTTTTTTACAACTTTATGGAGATATACTTTATATATTAGCAAATGCATCCCTTTTTGAGTGTGTACAATTCAGTGATTTTTAGTACATTTATTGAGTTGTGTAGTCATGACTATATCTGGTTTTTAAAACATTTTCATAACCCCAGTAAGATCCTTCATGATGATTTATAATTAATCCCCATTCCCACCACCAAGCTATCTTCTGTCTTTATAGATTTGCCTTTCCTGGGTATTTCATATAAATAGAATCACACATTCATAATTATTTGTTACACTAGTTTTTTTCCTTCTATATGGTGAGTTTCCAAAAGGCCTTTGTGCAATGGGACTGTTTATCTTTATTGAAGTGTTAATAGCACAGTGCTTTGTACATAGTACAAGTACTCAAGATAATAAAATTTAAAAAACACTGATAATTTCTTATGAAGTTGTTGTGAGAATTAAAGAGCCTATTAGGTTCTTGCTACTCAAAATGTTGTCCTTAGACCAGGAACAGCAGCATCACCCAGAAGCTAGTTAGCAATGTGATCTTGGGTCCCATCTCAGACTTAGAACCTGCATTTTCATAAGCTCCTCAGGTGATTTATATTCTCATTAAGGTTTGAGAAACAATGCTCTGCACTGTAAGTTCTATGAGGGCAGAGATGTGTGGCACACAGTAGGTACTCAGTACTATTTGTTGTATGAAGAAACGGTGATTCACATGAAAACATTTTGTAAACTGTTCAAGGCCTATATACACAAGATTGCCAAAGAATCAAAGTGTGGAATTTTGGCTTAACTAAAATCTGTTAGAGAAACAGTTTGGGCTGATATTTTATAATGCCAGTTTATATACTGAAGCAAATATATTTATTTTTCTTACATTTAAATGACAATTCCATGAGGAGACCCAGTTTTATTAAAACAAATAATAGTCCCTTAACTGAAATGGACTTTATAGTGAGTTTATTAGCATGGCAGTTAATTATAAAACTTCTTACTTCTAAAGGTTGACGAAGAAAATTTATTGCAGTTCCATTTTCTATGAGATAAGACCTTGATCAACAGCTAAGAAGCCAATGTCAGACTTTAAGAGACAGGATTGGTAGGTGTTATATAGTTAGCATCAACCTTGAACAAGGAAAACCTATCTAGTTTCCCACTTAGAGTCTGGCTCTAAATGCTTTAATTTATTCATTTAATCATTCTTCAAATCATCAAACATTTATCAAATTTGTCACTATTTGATAAGTTCTGTGCCAGGGCTTTCTGATGGATTACCAGGTACAATATTCTTGAGGAGTTCCATATCAATACAATGATGAGAGTTTTTTAATTACATAGGCTAACAAAAGATTTTTCATGCTTTATGAATTCATGAATGTTAGAGTCTTAAAATGCTATAAAAATTAAGCCACATTAGTTATATATTTAACAAATGTATTGGAAAAGATAAAATTATATTTTCTTGGGAAATCAGGCTATATGGTTAACACTTACAAAACAGGAGTGGTTTTTATTGAGGGTTGCTCTAAGGAATATAACAAGGATGTCCTGGTTATTTTCCATTTGCTCCTCCAGACTCATCTTTCACCCTATTTGCCTTGCTCTATACTGAAGGCTGACCTCTACAGACTTTATCTATCATCCAAGCCCTATAGCTTCTGTTTGAGTTTGGCCAATGCGAGGTACCAACAGAAGTCTGGAGATTGGGGGAAAAGAGGACAAGTGTTTACTTCCCAGTCCCCTCCTGGGCCACATTGGCAGTGGCTGCATTTCTCTATTTATAGTCACAGTGTTTGTCAGACATCCCCTTCTAAACTATAGCGCTTAAAATTTCCTTTCCCCTGCTCCTTCAGGCTTAAGTCTTCTCACTGTTACCAGTTAAGTGCTTTACCATTGCTAGTGGGTTCCCTTAACCCTTCCCACATCTCTGTTAATCATCCTTTTATTAAGCTCTTTTTACCCTCTTTGGTGTGCCACGAAGAGGCAATCAATCAGCCAGTATCTAAGGACTGCCTGCTGGGCTGGCACTGTTAAGACATATAATACATGATCCTGCTCCAGAGAGACTTACAGTCCACTGAAGGAGATAAAACCAACACATGTGAAGCAATTAGGAATCGCTACACATTGGTATCTAATGAGAGACATTTGGTTTTTTGCCACTCAGCATTCACTCTTTTGATAACCATACCCTATTTTCCTCTATTACTCTCAGTCAACGTCTTTTAGGGAGACTGGACTCCACTCTTAACAACATGAGTAGTCATTCTTCTGGTCACATGTCCTAATCAAAGCCAATAAAATATAAGGAGATTATTGCTGGCACTTCTGGGAAAAAGGCATGTACTCTTCCACTGAGATTCCTAACAGTAAGGATTATGTGAACTGGAGCTGCCAGGAGCCACCATATGGAGCCTGAGAATGAAGCCAACACAGAAGACAGAGCCAAGAGATGAAACGAAATAGAATTCTAATGACATTGCTTAAGCCCTTGGATCAAGCTATGCCTTAAGCTAAATATATCACTAGTTCCTTAGCTATGTGAGCCGATAGCCAATATATTTTTTGTATAAGTCAGTTTGTGTTTTTTATTTTGTCACCTGCAACTAAAATAGCTCTAACAATTCACAAATTGGTATCAGAACTGGGGATTAGTAAGTGAAAGATCTTAAAATGTTGAATCAGTTGATTCAGATGAGGCCTCATCTATATTGGGTTGGGAATTCAATAGCAAAGTAGTACATTAAAGTGGCACCTGTTGTATATTAGAATTCAAAACATGTGCCTATCAAGTATGAAATGTAAAAAATGTCACTAAAAGGTCAGATACTAGAGTACACCAACTATTACATGTTGGCCTGTTGGTTTTCAGTTAGGTCCTATAAGAAAGACTCAAGTTTAGGATTGAGCTTGATTTATCTAAGCCTGAGAGGGAAAAATACTGCTTTATTATAAGTGACCATTTTTGCTAAGGGCTCAGTCAAATATGACAGAAATTTCAATAATCTGGAGCCATTAGAGTTGGAAAAGCCCCAGGAGAATTTTAATGCCAATGAAGGCAAGAAAGGGAAAAGACTGGCACTTTGGAGAGGTCTGAACACACCCAGGCCTCTCTCAAGCAATTCCTGCCTGCTTAGAAAGGTAATAATTATCCCATTCTACTCCCTCCAGCACCACTATGCCCATGTCCCCCCTTGCAAAACTAGTAGCTATTATTATTTTTTTTCATTTTATTTTTTCAGTAGCTATTGTTTCAAATCATTCTCAGGCAGAAACCAAAATGGAGGCCACTAAGTAAGGAGTATAACAAGGCGTATTATGGAAAGATAAAAATACCCGTATTGGAATCTAGATGCAAAGACTGCAGCTTAAGATAACATCTAGCTTTGGAGGTTTTCTTCCCCATGAAATTGGCCAAATGCAAATAGACTGGAAGCTTAGTAAGAAGTAACGAAAATTGTGGCACCTGGCGGGCTGTCTGCAGAGCATGGGACTCTTGGTCTCAGGGTCATGAGTTCAAGACCCACATTGGGCATAGAGCCTACTTAAAAAAAAAAAAAAAAGTAAAATAAATTGTATGGTGAGAGAAATCCTAAGTCTGGAGAATAAAGGCTAGTTATTAGGGTTAGCACTAAGTGTTGTAACACATAGTGCAGAAGTTTGATTGGCTTAACACTACCGATGTTTATTTTTCACTTTTGCAAAGTCCGATATCGGTATTCCTGATTAGAAAGTGGCCTTCTACAAGGTCATTCAGCTACCCAGACTCCTTCTATCTCATGGCTCTCTTAAGACTATTCTCTAGGGTCTTAGCGTCCTCTCAGTGCAGCTAGAGGAAGAAAAAGAAACCATAGAAGACATACCGAGTTCTTAACCACATTGGCAAGAAGGGATTCATGTCACTTCCACTCATATTCCAAAGGAGATAATTGTAAGACTTTGCCAAGATTAATAGAAGCTGGAGAATGTAGTCCCTGCCTATGCAGCTACTTCCTAGCAACAATTCTACATAACAGAAGAGGATCACAGCTATTTGGTAGTAAAAGTTAATTATCTCTGTAATAGCAAATTTGTTGTTTTTTTTTTTTCAATTGCCACTATATCAGGAAAGAGAATGTTGAAGAGGTGTGGTCCCTAGAAGGATTATACTCCCCACTGTCCATTACAGATATGGCATGGAGGAACAATGGATGAGAGATTCTCCAATAGTTGAACATATGGCAGCCAGATGTGTTGATCAAAGAACTTTCTCCTCTCTCATGGTAGGAAGCCCTTGGTGTTTCTGTCCAGCATGATATATGCTATGAATTAAAGACCACTATGTGTTTGCCATTAGTCATTTTTCCAAATATGAGTTTTTGTTGCAGGTTTTTTCTTTTTCTGTCATTATGTATTAAGTATTTTGTAGCTATTTTTTTTTTTTGTAGCTAATTTTATCTTGTAGCCTTAGGTTACTAGACCTTGAGGAACTATATTGTTGTATAATAGAGAAACATGCTTATTACCCTCCTGTCCTGCACTTGGGAGTTATCTTCAGTAACTACATGAGAATTTGGATCATCTCTCTTTGGGGAGGAAGTGAGCATATTTTTGGTGGTAAATAATATTATTGCATTGAATAGGCATAAACATTTTGAAGGCGTATGTAGTGGAAGAATGTTTGAGAAGAATCAAGAGAAGAACAGGGGTGTGTGGTATGTCTGCTGTTCTCATTACCCAGGACATATCTAACCTTCCTCTGTTAACCATACTCCTATTTTCCTAAAAGCACCTTCTTGTGCCATTCATGTGTTACTGATAGACTCAACTTTTGAGATGGGCTTGTCAATCAGTGCAAGCCAATCTGAGCATCTCTTTCTCTAGCAACAGTGATTGGTTTAGGAATAGGTTCTTCACCTTTGCTGGTAGTGAGGATAGTGTGAGCTTAGAGTTGCTGGTTGTTCATTTGTGGGGCTTGAGAATGAAGCCAACAGCAGAGCAAAGAGCTAACATGTCAGGGAGAATCCAAATCTTGACAACATAATTTGAACTCTTCAGCCAAGCCATGTCTAACAAAACTATCTTGAAGTATTCAGTTATGTGAGCCAATAAATTCCCTTTTCTATTTAAGCCAGTTTGAGTTGGATTTTATGTTACTTGCAACCATACATCCTTACTGAATCAATACTGTTGTGTGAGGGTAGATCCATAAACAAATATACATAAGAATAAGTGAACATGAATATACCTGAGAGACAGACCTAACTAGAACTAAAGGAGTAGACTGAAACATGGTTCACAGGTTAAGAGGGAACTAGATTGGGGAAAGACCTTAACAATCAGTCAGAAGAATTTAAATTTAATGGAATAGAAAATATAGCCATGAAACTATCAAAGCACAAAGAGATGTACAAAAAATGAAGATTTAGAATGATTATTCTGATGGGTTAGATCGGAGCAGAGGAAGAAGGACGTCAGAAGGACCATCTCTGTTTTCCTGCTCATTGCATAGCATTCATGTTAGCCTCCTTTCTTCCCACTAATTCAAGCTCCCCAATCACTCTGGCCTGAGAGCCTTTGTACTTGTTCTTTTCTCTGCCTGGAAAGTTCCTTCCCCCAGACATTTGCTTGGCTTTCTCCCTTATTTCATTCAGACCGCTGTTTTGAACATAACTTCATCAAAGAGGACTTTCTAGATCAATTTACCTAAAGTAGTACACTACTCTACTACTCTCACCTGTATCTTTGTCCTTTTACTCTGTTTTGTCCTCATGGCATTCATCACTACGTGACATTATATTGTATATGTTTGTACATGTATTGTCTGAAATGTAATGAGATTCCATGAGTGCAGGGACTTCCTTTATTCACTGATGTATCTCTGGGAAGTACATCAGAGAATGGCACATAGAAAGCCCCCAATTAAAGCTTGTTTGAAGACGAATGAATGAGTGAAGTACAGTAAATAAGGCGAAAAAAAAAATCACAAGAGGGATGAGTTAGTCACTTAAATTCCTAGTACACTACTATCATTTCGGCCATAAACTGCTTAAGGCTCCCACTTCTGCTCCATCTCCCCAGAGGAAAAACAATTTAGGGAAGTTCGCTAATACTAAAGCAAGGACCTGAGATACCTTCCTGGATGATTCTGGTGAGAATGTTATTTTCTCCCGAGGTACCCCCGTTAGCAAGAATTATCTCCGATCCCAGATTTGTCAGGGCTCTTTCTCCATCTTAGCTCCAAGTAGAGCTCTGAGAGAAAAACGAGGCGGTGGTGGCTGGAAGACCCAAACGTTCCAAAGTATCTCTCTTCCCGGAGATCAGCAGCCAGGTGAATTTCAGAATGATGACAACTTGGAGGGGCAAGAGTCACGTGCCAGGTGGTTGCGGCACCAGGGGTAACCTCCGTTGATCCTTCCTTACCACCCAGCTTTCTACCGGGGCCTGTACAGAAAGAAGCACGCCAACACGTCAGGGCGGAGTGCGGCTTTCACCAAGTTTCCTTCCCATGCGGCTGCTCCCCGACCTCTCTTCTCCCCACCCACCCCCGCAACCTGCACGCTCAGCCTCCGATTTCCGCCCATCCCGGCTGGAGGGAGCCGGGAATCCAATTACTTTTCCCAAGGGAGGGCAATCCACTCATCAGGCCGCGAAGAGGGGAGCGGGGGTCGAGCAGCCGCAGAGGCCGCCCCTCCCCCTGCCTGCCCGGGCCTCCGGGCCCCGGCAGCCCCGGGCGGGGCGAGGCGAGCCGTGGAGGGGCGCGCGGTGCCGCCGCGGGGACTATTTGTCCTTCCGCGCGCCGCGCTGCGGCCCCGGCGCCGACGTCGACCGGGCTGAGTGGCAGGAGATTAGCCAAGGGCTTCCCCCGCCGCGCGCCCCCGGCCAATCGGCGCCGCGCAGGCGGTGCTCGAGGGCCGCGCACACGCACATTCCAGGATCCACGCCTCACGCGAACCACCTCCACTCCGCGCACGCTCCCCGTCCCACCCCGCCCTGTGGGCCGCACGCGCGCCTCTTCGCGGGGCCTTCTCCAGGGCCAAGCCTGGGCCCTGTCTCCTGGGCCCCAGATGCGGCTCTCTAAAGTGAAAGTGAAATGAGGAAAGAAGGCCAAGTGGTCTGTAGGGGAAGGGTAATTAGCATCCGTGTCAAGGTTTACACTCCTGCTCCACCGGCCAGGCTTGCCTAACAGATGGAGTGAAGCGACCGAGACTCGCTGAGGAGGAAGAAAGAGGACATCCCTCCTGATTCGTCAGAGAGTGGGTGGAGAACTCTTGCAATATCCTTGAGTGATCTCCAGTAAGAGGATCTTAAACTGGTGGATTTCTCACTGGGTTTTCTGCTGTGGTCAGAGCACTGGACACATCCTTTCTCCATCGGGAAGGGGAAAAAAAAAAAAAAAGCAACCCTCTCTCCTGCACACTGTCAGACTTATGAGGCCACAACTGACATACGTGCTTGAAGGAGAAAGTGCGCTATTGTGTCTTGTTTTTCCTTTTGAATTCCGTCCTCCTGAGACACTGGCTGACCCTTAGGCCCATGGCCGTCCTGAATGTGATTGACATGCGTGATTAGCAGGCTAGTGAGAGAGAACCAGGGAAATTGCTATCAAAACAATTACATACAGGGACATCAGAACAATGGCTTGAGAGACCCCAGGGACTTAGAGACCATCCTAGCTCTGCCACGATGCCCTCTGGGACTGTGGCCAAGTCAGATCATCTCTTTGTGTCTTCGTTTCCTCCTGGTAAGTTGAAACTATTCTTACTGCTGCCTGTCTCAAAGTTATGTTATAAAAAATAAACTTAGATAACAGAGCTGAAAACACTGAAGGTTTTGTTTTGCGGGGAAGGTGGTTGGTGGTGGTTGAAAGGCATTCTCTGGACAGAAGATTCTGTAAAAGGAAGCCGTTTGACCTTCAGCCTACAAAGTGGTCATTTCAATTAAATTTAATACACCTGTGTGGAGACTTAACTCAGTAGCTGCAGAGTTCTGTGCTGGGTGCTAATCTTCATAAGATTTATAATCTAGTAAAGCCATGCTAATTCCTGCATTCTCAGACCTTCTCCCATGTCTGTGCCAGTTCCCATCCCTAAGTCTTGGCCATTTTCATTCTCCACTTGTGTTCAAGGGCCGCAAATCATTGCTAGCTATAGGTACAGAATGATGCTGCAGTTGGGGCTCCCCATTTGAGTCTAAGCTGTGGCTTGGGGGTTCAGATATATCTGGGTATGTCTGTGGAACTGATGGGGCAAGGCCCCAAAAGCCTGTTTCCTGGAGTGACTGAGGAGCTTCCTGGGACAGAATATGTCCTTAGTGAAGAAGGAGCGGAACACAGCTGTAGCTGGGAAAGACTAAATCTTGAAAAAATGGAGAGGTCCTTCTGCGTCCAGTCTGGTGTCTCCCGGCCCTCATCTGAGTCCAGTAGATGTGGGAAAGGGATGGGGGAGGGAGAAGAAGATGGAGGGAGGCTATAGGCGAAAGCTAAAATATGTTTCAAACTTTCAAATCCCACATTACACATTCAAACACATGCTCTCACCTTTACAAGAAAAGACCAAGCTATCGACAGAAGTGCAAGCAACAGAAAACTTGACTCGTGGTGGCTTTTGAAAGAGAAGGAATTTATTATCTCATAAAATAATAAGTTTGATGGAAAGTCGTTCCTATATTGGTTAATTGAGTAACTCAAGGATGTTGTCGAGGACCCAAGGGGAGTTATTCCTTCTGCTCTGCCATCCTCAGATGACACTCTCTTCTGCCATCTCCCTTCAAGGCTGCACCCTAGCTTCTGCACTTTTGGCATCGGATGCAGTAAGGGCATTGCCCAAAGAAGAGGGATATTGTCTCCCACCTCTTCCTGTCTTTTCTGTCTCTCTCTTTCTCACAGTAAAGGAAGGATAATCCTAGTTTCTGGAGGCCTCTGGCAGAACTGAGTCCCATTGGGCAGAACTGTGTCACATACACATCCTAAACTAACTGCTTGTAGAAAGTATGATGCCAAACGTAATTTACCCCTCATGCTGGGAGAGAGAGAAATCACTTTCTGTGAGCACGTGGGAGGATATAATTAAAGCAACATCAAATTTTGCCGTGGAAAAAAATAAGGAAAAGTGGCTGTGGTTTAGGTCTCAGCAGGTTCCCTCAACTTTCCTTTTCTCTGCTTCAAAATGTTTCTGTATCTACTCTCCTCCATAACGTCTAAATTTTTCTACCTTCCTTCATATTCTTTTTTTACTATCTCAGTGGAGAAGTAACCCAGCTCCATTTCAGGATCTGGTGCTCCATCTGTCTACCTCCCTAAGACCTTGCTCTTGTCCTAGCCCCTCACAGTGGTCCCTAAGCCACATGCAGTTACCTGCAGGCTGTTCCATCCAGCATTCTACTAGTGAGAATTAGAGATCCGAAGCTCCTTTTGTTGTGCCAGGAGGATCCAGATTGAAAGATGCAAGAATTTGTTCAGATCCTATCCAGTGGGGCTGGGGCAGGGGTGAGAGGTAGGGACCAAGGACAACCTTCATCCTTTTCTATACGTAGGGCTTCTCTGTCTGCCTCAGCAATGTGGGAGCGCCACATGGTATCCTCAGCAACTTGATTTCAGACTGCTTCCATTTTACCCTCTCCCTCTCCACGAATACCAGTCTCCTGGAGTTTGGATCCCACTCTATTTTTCTGAGTTACAACCTGGTAGAACACTGATACTGGCTTGGCTTGAACCTGAAACTTGTTCCATTTCTTCCCTATACTCATATTCATTCATTTTTTTTTCTTTACTTAACAAATGTTAAATGCTGACTCTTTCAAGGACTGCACTATGTGCTAGGGAGACATTGACAGATAAATTGGAATTCTCTGCCTTCAATGAGTTTACATTCTGGTGGAGGATCTTTATTTCACCACAAGGTATGGCATGAAATTCAAGGCCTTCTCACAGGAACGGTAAAAGCAAGGCCCAGTTGTTAACTCTCTGCAACATAATCTGTTTTAATTCTTCACAAACGACTACCACTATTAGTGGAAATTATTTTGATCTTTACACAGCTCATAACGTATCTTTTCACAGAGGCTATTGTTTCAGACAATTACACTTTCCAACAAGATAAACACCATGTAGGGCAATGCACTTGTGGTACAGTACATTTTATTAATAACATGTCTTGTCAGCTGAGCGGGCCAGGCTATGGATGGATGATTACAGCAAAAAATGGAGCCTGTATCTGATACAAGTTTATGTATCATCAGAGTTGTTACCCTATCTCTGCTCACAGTCAGGAACCTGCCAGATCTTATTCAACAGAATGGTTTGTAGATGCATTGGCAGCAGATAAAAATATTTACTATTAATCTGCCTTCCTTTGGCTATACCCACCTGAGGATATATAGTAAAATCAAATTTTAATTTTTTAACATTTTCGAAATTCACCTAGGTTGATTATTCCCACTTTCATTTTTAGTAGAAAGCAGGTTCTCCAAAGGATTGCTATACTGTATTGAAATATAAAACTGCTTGTGTATTTTCAACTAATAGCACTTGTACTTCAGATGGTGTCATGGACCCTCAGTGTCTAATATATCTTGACAGAGTCTGAAGTAGAAGTAAACCAATTCAGACTGCAGGTCCTAAAATACAAGTCAGAGAAGGTGGGTGTAGCAGAAGTGAAATGAGAGCATTTAAATGAAATATGAACTCTAGTCAATTTGAATGAATTCCCTTAGCACCTCAGTCCAGAAAAGAACGTGTAAGGGTTTTAATCTTCACTTGATTAAAGTGCTTCACATGATGAAGTGCATGACCCTAAGTGAGTCAGTTAATTAATCTCAGTGTCTTGGTGTTCCCATTTTTACAACAGGGTTAATAAGACAGGTAGTGCACCTGTACTTTGAATTTGAGAGAAAAGAGAATTATACTCTTTCTGAAATGTAGCTGATAATTATCAATCAGTTATCAATGGGAATTTATTGAGCCCTGCACTTAGCCATCACTATAGGCAGAGAGCCTAGCAAGCCTTAAACATAAATAAAATGCTGAAGAAATTTTCATTGCATGAATGAATGAGAAAATGAATCAGTGAACCACCTACAAAGTGTCAGGTCCTCGGCTATGGAAGATCCAAGATGCATCCCTACCTTTAAGAAACTTTCTAGTGAAATAAGCCATATATAGAATGAAAGGTAAATTTAACAGTTAAGGTATGAAATGCCAAATAAATGTTATGGTCCATTATCCTCAAACTAGAATTCTCAGATTCTCAGCTTCATTATGGCTTTTTCCCTAAAACTGACTGGCTTGAGAATATGCCTATGGTTTTTTTGTGTAAAGGTAGTAGAATATGTTTAATAAAAACTTAAATATAGAAGTATGTTTCATTAGAATAATATTCTGCATGGAAGTGGAATTGAAATATAAATTCAAGGGGGAAAATATATAAAACTGTTAAAGATTAAGAACTTAACAAAATTTTTTATATTTTTATTGAGGTATAACATCCATACAGTAAAATGCACAAACCACCACTTAAATCGAGATATAGGTGATCCCACTTCCCACTATGACCTTTCTTAATCTCCTTCCCCATCCCAGAGATAACCAGTATTCTGACTTCTTATGCCATAGAATACTTTTCCCTGTTCTGAAAGTTGTATAAATTGAATTATTCAGGATGCTCTCCTTTGTGCCAGGCTTCTTTTGTTCAACATTATGTCTATATGATGCATCCATTGTTGCATACACCAGAGTCCATTCTTTTTAATTATTGCAAAATAGTTATTCTCAAAGTGTGATCTGAGAATCCTTGGGGGGGGGGTGCCTGAGAATTTTTCAGGGGGGTCCATGAGTCAAATTATTTTCATAATAATTTAGGTTTATTTTCCTTTTTCAGTGCATTGATGCTTTAATTCATGATGCAAAAGCAATGATGGTTAAAACTGCTGGCA